AAAGCTGTTAATCCAGTCTTTAGTGTCACATGATCCTTCAGAAATTATTCTGATATGCTGCTTTGCTGCCTAAGAAACATTTCCTCTTATTATTAGCAACGTTGAAGACAATTGTGCTGCTTAACATTTTTGTGGAAAACATTGTTCATTTATTATTCAGAATTATTTGATGAATAGTAAGCTCAAAATAACAATTTTAGGTCGTTAATCTCACTTTTGACTGATTTAATGCATTCTTGCTGAATAAATGTATTCATTTCTTTAAAAAAGCCCAAACTTTTAAATGGTAGTTTATAAACATACATATGAGATTAACATCTGATGCATTCTATGTTAAAGCATAAAGTTGTGAGGTCTTGGCAGCTAGAAACAACTAGACTCTCCTTGCCTTGATTAAAAAAAAAAAAAAAAAACTTTTGTGTCTAATTTAAGGGATAAATAATGTGAAGGTTGATGCCTGAACTTCATCTGGCATGTACATTCTGAAAAGGAGAGAAAAACATAATGTGATGAATTTGTTTCCCATTTGATTCTCTGGAAATAAGCAGTAGCACATGGTAATGTAACTAATGTGTATATTTAATATTATTTCCAACTTTTCTTTGTCTACCCACAAAAAAATACTGCTATTGTGAAATAAGGTTTTGGTCATACCACACACCTCTAGAATGATCTTTGTGTCATTGTTCAGCTTAGTACTTGCAAGAAAATGAACTTGTGTGGGAAATGTTTTAGAAAATGACCACGTTCCAGGCCATGCAATTATACAACAGCAGTGCAATCAAAGACTGGCCACCTGACCACTAGTGTTCTTTTTCAAGCCTGACCTTTGTCCACCTGACTTGTTTACTTTGCCAATTATGGGTTTAGTTAATTTTTTTGGGCTCTCTGTGTTTGCTTTTGCTCTATAGCACTGATTAGCAGATACTTATTTATTTAAATTTTTTTGTGTGTCTAATATTTTGCCCGTCTGTCCATAGAAATGGCTGCAGGTGAGCAACCTGCCCAAAGAGGTGTACCAGCACTTGGCCTGCTACGTCCCCAAGATCTACTGCCTGGGCCCCAACCTGAACCCTCAGAATGAGGACCTTCTGGCTCCGCTGCTGCTTCAGAGCCCGCTGGAGTGGTACCTGTGCGGGGAAGAGCCGTCCGTGGGATTGGCCAAGCTGGAACAGAACAACCAGCCCTCACAACTCTGTGGCCATGTGTTTAAAGTGGGAGAGCCAACGTACTCCTGCAGGTACAACGTCAATACTTCATCTCTTTCTGATCCGCCCAAAGAAGGGTTGATTCTCATCTAGACTGCATTCACAATGATTCTTAATTTGTTTGATTTCAAAAGGCAATGAAGACAAGCCGTTGTTCCAAAACGTAGTGAGCTGCACATTCATGATTTAATAGGTTTTGGAATCTTTTTTTTTTTTAAAGAAGTCTCTTATGCTTACTAAGGCTGCATTTATTTGATCGAAAATACAGACATTTTATTACCATTTTAAACAACTGTTTTCTAAGATAATATATTTTAAAATTGAACCTGAATTTTTAGCATCATTACTCCAGTCTTCAGTGTCCTTCAGAAATCATTCTCTTCAAATAAATGCTGTTCTATTGAACTTTCTATTCATCAAGGAGTCCTGAGAAATGTCATGTTTTCCACAAAAATATTAAGCAGTAAAAGCTAATATGAAGAACCATTATTAAAAAATGAGGATCAAAATTAATTGATGATAATTGAGCATAGGGCTGGACATTAATTCAATATTAATATGTATCGCGATATAATTTTTTTCAATAACGGTGATATGATTTTTAAACACATTTCCGATATTTCGATATACATTACCAGTGTTTCCCATACATTGATTTATTTGTGGCGTTTGACTTCGTTGAATAAACATGAGCACTGCACGTTTCAAAATCAAAACGCGTCTCGGGTGTTTTATATGAATGTATCTCTGAAGGGAACCGACTGTCAGAATAGTTTAGATGGCATTTTTATCTGATAAAGTAGCGTTCATGAGCGGAGCTGCTTTGTTTACAGCCATTACTG